TATATATATATATTATTATTTTTTTAAAATCAACTTCTCTTATATTTTCTTATATATTTAGTTGATATTAGAACTTAGTCTATGGTTACTTTATAGAACATGGAAAAGATGAATGTAAAATATGATAGATTTAGAATTACAATGTAAATGCACAATTCAATAAAACTATAATATTGTTAATACCTATTTTCAAGATTACCATTCTAGACATTGTAGAGTTATATTTTGTATTTTTGGTTATTATGTTGTCATCATTGTTATCTTCATAATTATTATTATAATTGTTATTGTGACACATTTTTATTTTGAAGGATTTAATAAATAAAATATAATAAAATTTTTAGAAAATAAAAATAATTTATAATAATTCTCCACATAACACTTGTAAAAGGGTTCACATCTATAAACATTATTTAAATCATAAAAAATTTATTATTGTTTAATCAAAACTAAGAATAACCTCCTAAATCAAATAAGTTATAATAAAACAAACTTAAAAAGAAATTCAAATTAAACAATCATCTATTTATAAAAAAAAAATAATAATAAATAAATAAATAAAGTTGAGTTACATTTATTATGTTGATACATCGTTACAAAACTAATTTTACATGTTGTCATGTCAACGTATTTATTTATGTGGCAAATTCTATTCTATTTATATATAAAATTTGAGTTACAGTCTATTACATTGACAGTTATTGTAAAACTAATTTACATGTTGTCATGTCAGCATATTTGTATATGTTTGTAAATTCTCTAAACTTCTATATTCTATCTATTTATATATAAAAATTAAGTTATATTCTATTACGTTGACACATTATTATAAAACTAATTTTACATGTTATCATGTCAGCATATTTGTCTATGTGAAAAATTTTCTAAACTTCTATATTCTATCATATTTTCCCTTTACTTTTTATATATTACATCTTTCTGCATTCTATTTTCCCTTTTACTTTCTATTTAATCTATTTGTCACCCCCTTTATTTATTTTTCATTTCACATGACAATTTTTGTCAAAAATGAAACGTACTACTTTTTCTTTTTTTTTTTAAATATAAAAGTTGAGTTATATTCTATTATATTGACACATCATTATAAAATTAATTTTACATTTTACTATGTCAGATATTTGTCTATGTGGTAAATTCTCTAAACTTCTATATTCTATTATATTTTCCCTTTACTTTCTATATATTACATCTCTCTGCATTCTATGATTCCTTTTACTTTCTAACTAATCTATCTGTCACCCTCTTTATTTATTTTTCATTTCACATGACAATTTTTTGTCAAAAATGAAATGTACTACTTTTTCTTCCTTTTTTTTTCTCTTCTCATTTCTCAATTATCTAATTTTTATTTCATCATGGTACTACTTTTTTTCAATCTAATCTATTTGTCACCCTCTTTGTTTATTTTTCATTTCACAAGACAATCTTTGTCAAAAATGAAACGTACTACTTTTTCTTCTTTTTTTTCTTCTCAACTCTCTATATTACATATTTACATTTTATCTAATTTATTTCCTACCCTCTTTATTTTTTTCACTATATATTCTCAATTTGTCACACATTTTATCTATAATATTATTTTTATTATCCTTTTATATAGCTTTAAATTGTATTTAATTAGTAAATTAGTAATTATATAAATAATCATATTAGTTAATAATTAAGAGATTAAATTTAATTAAATTGTTCGTTATAAAAAAAATAAAACACAAAAAATAAAACATTTTTTTCTTCAAAAATATAATATGTGATAATTTAAAATTTTTTTTTTTTTTGGTAAAGTGATTCCTTTTTGGTAAAGATTTAAAATTATTTTTAATATGTAATTATATATTAATTAATACTTTTACTAATTAAGAGATTAAAATTTGTTAAATTTTCAGCTACAAACAAATTAGTTTTAATTATAAATAAAAATGAAGCAATATTAATTGATATTAATTGTAGATTAAAATATTTCACCACTAATTTACTATTTAAGAAATTTAATTTGATTAAATTCTCTGTTTCAAAATAATAATAAATATTATAGTAATTAATATTGATATTAATATTAATTATAAATCATTATTAAAAAAAAAAATTTCCAAAATCTAATAATTATTATTAATTGATATTTATGTTCATTAATAAGAAAATAATAAACTTTTTATTAATATTAATTTTAAACAACAATAAAAAAAAATTGGTAAACCTGTCGACAATTAGATTGTATAAGAGTTACATATTTAAAAATAATAAATATATGTATATTCTTTATTATCAATTTATTAATTTGATAAAATATTGAAATAGACTATTTTATAATTTAGTTATAAAAAATATTTATCTAAATATAATATCTTTAGTTATGAACTTTTTAAAAGAGTATTTACTTGAATCTTATATTTTTGAATTTGAATCTAACAAAAAAAAAATAAAGGATGAAATATTATATAAATATAAATATAAAAATATTTATAAAAATATTTTTTCTTTACAAACAATAATAAATTTATTTGTTGTAGAAAATCAATAATAAATTTATATTACATAATTAAAAAATTATATATAAAATTATATATTAACTAACAAAATAATATTTTTTTAATTAAATAATTTCTTTTTTATTCGTGCATCGCACAGGTCTATGTCTAGTTTATTCTAAAACTCAGCCTCGATGTCACACTATTAGAACAATATCCTTCTTTATTGTTCTCGTCCTTTAAACCATTATCTTATACCTGCAAATAGTGTTTAGTTTAAACACAAACATACAAACATAGGGAGTGAAAATATATCTTATTTATCACAACATATACAAAGTATAAGGATAGTTACACAATTCATGCAACAATTACATCGTATATGCACACTTTCATCAATTTGTCTCATACAATATTAATAACAAGTTAACATATTACATTGCATTTATCACTATCATTCCATCAATCACAAATACATCATATTCATCAATTGAGGCTCATGGGATGTATGCTCCTAATTGCCAAGGAATAATGGAACTAGACCACCCCATCAAAAAGTATAGAGACCACTCCGCAACAATGATCCTCCTGAACCACCTCACCAGGGGATGACTATCAGGATCTTGTCGAAATGTTACAATTGGCAATGGAAGCCTCCCACTCTCGAGAGAGGTTTCCCCACCATAATACCCCTAGGGCACATGTAGATGACCCATACCTACTTGCATAGACTCACTATTTGCAAAACAAAGTATGAAATGCATGGATTCAAACAAACAATTCAACCACACAAATGCATCCTCAACTCCTCGAGTGTCGACCCACAACATTGGACTTATACAACATATCTTATCATAAATTATCACCTTAGAACATTCATCACAGTCATTCAAGAGTATCTCAAATAGATGACATCATAATATTATTCATCATGGTTCAGCGGTGCTTAAAACAATTAAAACAATGGGCATAGCACCCAACAAGGTTTAATCTATAATATTAATCATCAATTACTTCTCTTAATTCTTAGTCTTAGTATCTCCTCTCAACTCCTTTCTTATCCTTTAAAAGGTACAAAACAATTATGTAAAATGTACAAAATAATTATTTAAATAATTGTCCTTTCTTCAAACTTTGTTCAAACACATCAATTATTTCGATTCATCATTATTACATCCTCAAATTTAATAGATTTCAATCTAAAACCATCAAAATTCATACATATTAACCCTAACTCTCAAAATATATACACTCAATATGATCAAACAGTTAATTCATATTCCATAAACATCATCAAAGTATTAATTTATCAAGCATCATCTCATTCAACTCTAGATTTCTCAAACCATTCATAAAAACCCTAACTTTAAATCATACAAATTCATCATTTCAATTAGATAGAACAAAACACTATATCACATTCATCATCTACCACAAGAAAAACGCAAATTTCTAACGGACATAATCCGTCGGTAAAAAGGAATATCTGTCAAAAATTCTCTATTTCTGACGGATGCAAATC